AGAGTGACGTGAGTGGTAAACCCAGACAAGCATGGTCACCAGGACTGTGAAAACCAACATCAAGAAAGGAGCCATGCTGAAATCAGTTTGGCTCAGTGGATAGAGCTTCGGCCTAGGGACTGAAAGGTCCCAGGTTAGATTCCGGTCAAGGGCATGTACCTTGGCTGCGGTCACATTCCCATTAGGGGTGTGCAGGAGGCAGCTGATCAATGTTTCTCTCTCATCGATGTTTCTAACTCTCTATCCCTCTCCCTTCCTCTCTGTAAAAAATCAATAAAATATATTTTTTAAAAAGAATAAAAGAAAGGCTTCCTGTGCCCACCATGCACTTGCTACAACCAAGAGGAAGGAAGATCATAAACTAACATCACTCAAAGATAAGCAACAGAAGAGCAGACTAAAAACCTGCCTTAAGTCGCAGGCTCTTTCACTTTTCAAAAAACCCAATTTAATAAAATCTAAAGACAAGTTATTTGATTATAAGTAACGCAATATAGAAACTAAGAGAACTCTGTGCTGAAGCACCATCACCTCACAAGTCAAGCACAGAGAACCACCTGTTGCGGCTGTAAGGTACTTGCAGCCTGTTCTGGCGTGAGTGCGAGGCAACTGCTCCCTAACCACCCCAGGGACACACCCTGACTGGATCACCAACAGGGCACTTTTAGGAACAACACTGCAGACTGACTCCTGTCCTGTCCAGAGTCAACAACATGGACCAGCAGACCACTGATACAAAAAGTAATGTCATTAACTACATCGATGCCAGCTTAGGTCAGAGAAGGATCTATACTAATAAAAGGGTAATATATTAATTAGACCGGAAGTCTTCCTGATGTCCTTCCGGACAAAGCCACAGTGGCAGGAGCCGAGGCAGAGGCAGAGGTAAGTTAGGGGCAATCAGGCAGGCAGGGGAGCAGTTAGGAGCGATCAGGCTGGCAGGGGGGAGCGGATAGAGGCAATTAGGCCAGGAAAGGGGAGTAGTTAGGAAATCAGGCAGGAGAGAGCAGTTAGGGGTGATCAGGCTGGCAGGGGAGTGCAGTTAGGAGCAATCAGGACAGCAGAGGAGAGTGGTTGGGGCAATCAGGCAAGCAGGGGGGAGCAGTTAGAAGAGATCAGGCTAGCAGAGGACAGCAGTTGGGGCATCAGGCAGGCAGGAAGAGTGGTTAGGGATGATCAGGCAAGCAGGCAGGCAAGCGGTTAGGAGCCAGTGGTCCCAGACTGCGAGAGGGAAGTCCTGGATTGGAGAGCGTGCAGGCCGAGCTGAGGGACCCACTCCTTTCCGTGCACAAATTTTGTGCACTGAGCTTCTAGTAAAGGAAATAAAACAGACTCCCAAATAAACCTCTCTAAGAAACCTTATAAATATGATATTTACTATACTTTTGTACTAACAGAATATAAAGAAGCTCATTGTGAACATACAAGAACACAGAAATTAATTATATTAACTAATAATTACCAATTATTTAGTTAGTTATGAACCTGAAGTACATAAATAATACCGTGCACAGGTACAGTATATAAGCTGATCCTCCCAAATTCTTAACCCTGTCAAAGCCTTACTGGAGTTGCCAGTTCAGACCTGGACTCATGGCCAGGCCCAGGGCATTAATGCCACAGCTAACAGAAGAAGAGAAGGGAACAGCAGAGATAGAAATTAAAATCAGAAGAAATGTGCACAGGCAATACTTAACAGAACTGTTTCCTTTTGTATTGCCTGAAATAAACACAATTAAGAATATGCTCTTAAAAATAGCTCCTATACACACACACACACACACACACACCATGACCATTTGAAAATACTATTTTTCCAGGTCAGAGAGACATAAACAAGGCATTTACTAGGTGTACCCGTTAATAATACCATTTTGTGTTTGTTTTGTTTTTTCAATAGATGGAGTTACACATATGTTGATATATGTGCAATTTGATATGTATGCTATTTTGTTGTACTGACAACAAGCTTCAAAACTTCATGTCAAATTTTCTGAGGATGTTAACATCATAGATATTTTTATGCTTAAAAATGTCAAGTTTCATGCTAATAAAAGAACATTTGTGGGAAGTTTTAATTCATTATTTTGAAGAAAAGTGCTGCTGAATACTTCAGGAAACTTATGGTGAACATGCTCCATCTCAAGATACTTTGAACGCTGGTTTAAATGCTTTAAAAGTGATGATTTCGATGTAAGAGACAAAAAAAGGCCAGGTTAACTGAAAAAGTTTGAAGACCAACAATTACAAGCATTATTGGATGAAGATGTGTGTCAAACTCAAAAACAACTTGCAGAAAGATTAAATGTTGCTCAGCAAACAATTTCCGATTGTTTACAAGCAATGGGAAAGATTTTAAAGGAAGGAAAATGGGTGCCACATCAACTGAATGAAAGACAAATGGAAAACTGCAAAGTCATCAGTAAAATGCTGCTTCAACAGCAAGAAAAAAAGTCTTTTTTGCATAGAATTGTGCCTGGCAATGAAAAGTGGATTTATTTTGTGAATCCCAAATGCACAAAATCATGGGTTGATCCAGGTCAAACATCAACATCGACTGCAAAGCCAAATCGCTTTGGAAAGAAGACAATGCTCTGCGTTTGGTGGGATCAGGAAGGTGTGGTGTATTATGAGCTTCTAAAACCATGTGAAACCATTAATACTGATCGCTACTGATAACAAATAATCAATTTGAACTACACTTGCATCGTAAAACAACCAGAATGTTCCAGAAGACACGGCAAAGTAATTTTGCTTCATGATAACGCACCATATCACAAACTTCAAAACCAGTTAAAGACACCTTAAAAGCCCTAACCGGTTTGGCTCAGTGGATAGAGCATCGGCCTGGGGACTAAAGGGTCCCAGGTTCGATTCCAGTCAAGGGGATGTACCTTGGTTAAGGCAGATCCCCATTAGGGGATGTGCAGGAAGCAACTGATCAATGTTTCTCTCATTGATGTTTCTAACTCTCTATCCCTCTCTCTTTCACGCTGTAAAAAAAAAAAAAAAATGCAATAAAAATTCAAACAAACAACAACAAAAAATTTTAACAGATCTTGCCTGGGAAGTATTAACCCAGCCGCTGTATTTACCAGACCTTGCTCCTTCAGATTACCACTTGTTCAGATCGATGGCACACGCACTTTCTGAGAAGCACTTCAAAATGTACAAAAGAAGTGGAAAATTTGATCTCTGAATGGTTTGCCTCAAAACAAGAAAAGTTCTATTGGGACGGTATCCACAAATTACCTGAAAGATGGGGAAATGTGTAGCTAGTGATGGACCTTACTTTGAACAAAGCAATTTTGATGTTTCTCTTGAAATTATCATGTTTTCTTTTATTACAAAATCTGCATTATTAACTGGTACACATAGTATCCTCAGAGGGTTGAAAGTAGCCAACATGCTACTGGACGAACTGCTGGAAAAAATCCTCATGGAGATTGTGGACAGGTTGGTTAGTTAACTTATTACTTAAGAATGAAAAAGAGCTAAAAAGTTACTCCAATGTTATTTTCATGTAAAATTCCTGTTGTTTTTCTGTGTATTGTAAAATTATACAACATAGTTTCTGAATATAGCATGATATAAAAAATATTTTTTACCCTGTAGAAAAAAAGAGCAAAAATTTAACTAGCTCAATTCTTTGAAAGAAAAGGTGTTGATTCATTTGCAAGCTATTCTTCGACCCAGAGCTAGCTGAGCCCCCAGCTCAGCTGCAGGCCCGCCAGAACTCTGAATGCACTTGGCCCTGCTCTCTGCCAGCCACAGCTCGCCCATGGAGGTCACTAGAAAGACCTTGGCCCCATGCCACCTGTTTATAACTCAAGGGGAAAAGTGGGACGCTGATAAAGTGTGCTTAAAACAAAGTCAAAAGCGAAAGGCCACGCACACTGGAAACTGGTTAACTTTTGAGTTCTCATCTAAAAATAACAAAGGCATATAATAGTAAAATAATTTGATGGAATAGAGGCCAGCTGCTAATTTTGAATTACCATGAATGGAGGTGAGAAAACAGATTCAAGAAAAACAAAATTATAGGTCCTAGTAATATGGAATTTCTAATCCATATTACTCTTTCAAATGTCTTAGTCTACAAGCACAGAAATAAAAGCAATTAGCACTGTACTAAGTAAACTGCTCACAAGTTGTTCCCACATGAGCACAGCACAGGACATAATGCCCCACGTGCCTCTTCACTCCTCTGTGCACTGTCCCACCGGAGGGCCTGAGGGTAACGGCTGTGGTCGGCTTCCCCTTTCCTCCTCAGGTTATAGACAAGCCACACACACCAGCACTGTGACAAGAAACATCTGCACGAACCACCAGAATGTGCTGCAGAATCCCGTCAGCACACCCCTTCTATAACAAAGCAGGGATATACCCACGGCTTCTTGAAAGGACAACCTTGTGCCACGGACATCTGTTTGCCTCTGTTCAAGAACTGAATTGTCCAACCCAGGCTGGAAAACACTGCCTTAGCCTTAGGGAGAGTGATCTAAAACGGCCCGTCACAGACAAAAGTGTGCTTACCTCTGACCTGAAACCCAGGTACTTGCCCTTGACCTTGAATGGAACCAATGACCCTCAGGTGTGCGGGCTGAAGCTCTAATCCCTGAGCAACACCGGCCAGGTCACCATGTCGCACTTTAGAATCTTTCTCATCCTGTTGCCCCTGAATCTAAAGCTAAACACAAGTCACTTGCTTTGTGGTAAAGGAAATTTTGTATTTCAAACTAATTTTGTAATTCTACCACAAATTATCCTCAAAAAGAATCTAAAACTGAGAAAGGTCTAAGTGAAGGACAGAGACAACTGAACACTATGGTCAGCACGGAAACGGCAGCTCTCACACCAGCTTCCCGTCAGAGGGGCTGGTCCACGGGACTGTGCAGAAGCAACCTGCCTCCCTCTGCTCACACTCCTGCTCTGGGAATTAGGGCATCATAAGAGAAGGATGTGGAGATTTAAGAGGCACAATGACCTCGTCAACTTACCCCAGCTGACAACTTAATCACCCTGACTTTGGAGCCCACATGCGGCCCATCTCCGCCACCGCTGTTTGCCCGGTGCATGACAGTCCTTTTGGTGCCGGGCTTGGAGTCCGGGGGCCGGCCCTGCAGGGCCGTCACTCGGGCGGTCTGTGCTGGGGGCAGCTCGTCCCCATCCTCAGGCTGTGCCTGCAGGACTTTGTGTCTCAAGTGCTTCAGTGGTCTCACCGGCTGTCCCGAATACTGCATGTGAGCACCAGATGGCACGAAGTTTGACGTTTTCGGCTGAAGACTTGAAAGAGCAACATCTTGGTTTTTCACGAGAAGTCTGTTTTTCACATTCTGTCGGACCTGGGCACCAGGGAAGGGCAGCAAGGGGTTTCCATTCGTGGGCAACGGCAACACTGGCGGCTCTTCCCGCTCCACAGGGGCCCCGGGGCTGCAGAGTTGCTGCTGCTGCTGTTGCTGCTGCTGCTGCGCCAGCCTCTCCAGGAGCTCCTTCTTCCTGGCGCCAGCCTGCTGCTGCCGGCGCATCTCCTTCTGCTTCAGGATCTCCTCTCGCAGGCGCTTCTGCTCTTCTATCTTTAAGCGGTACAGCCTCGTTTCCTCATCTTCATCGGGAAACTGGATCAGAGAACACACACGGTTTACTTGGCAGCGCCAGACAAGGCGACCTTGCCAGTGTATTTCTACAAACTCAGAAAATGCAAATTATAAAACCCTTTCATTCAAAATTTGAAAAACACTTTAGGTATAACTTCTTCCTCTGTAGAGGGGAAAAATTATGCAATAGCTAACTTAGAAAATCTTATCAGAATATTAAAAAATAAAAGAATGTACATTTCCTTTTATTTATAAGTTTGAAGCCAATTAAACCATTCATTTAAGATATCAAAATATGTTTCGAATGGAAATAGCCACAGTAGGGGCCGCACTGTCACACAGGTTTTATCTGGCTCTTCTCTGACGAGCCAACAAAAGGTGGGTGTAAATGACCTGTAAGGGCCTGATTAGAACTATTGATTTTTCGTACAGAATTTCAGCCTGATCTCAAACTCATTTGTCACAGAATAATTGGCTGTAATGAACAGCACAAGTCAATCTCTCTGACCTTGAACTCATGCACTCTCCTCAGAATCAAAATGCTGTCAATGGCAGTACTGGAATATTAATGCTATCTAAGGAAAGCTCTAATATGCCAGCCCCAAACCATTCTGAGAATCTACCAAAAAACTCTCACAGAAGTCTGATAACTTTCACCAAAACCATGCAATAAGGAAAGTTTATTAAAAGTTAGGCATTTAGCCCTAGTCTGTTTAGCTCAGTGGACAGAGCACTGACTATGGACTGAAGGGTCCCGGGTTCCATTCCGGCCAAGGACACACATCTCTCAGTTGCAGATTCAATCCCCTCTCCAATTGAAGCATGTCCAAGAGGCAACCAATCAATGTGTGTCTCTCACATCTATGTTTCTTTCTCTCTTTCCCATCCCTTCCACTCTCTCTCTAAAAATCTATGGAAAAATATTCCCAGGTGAGGATTAAAAAAAGTAAGGCATTTGTTAAAAATGGCAATACTTTTCTTTAAAAGCATCACAGATACACTCGATCTATTGTAATAGAATTTAATCTATCTAGAGGCCAGCTATTAACAAACAAACCTTAAAAATTAGAAGTTAAAACCAAACTGTAGCTGCAGACCCTATTGGTGCCCCCAGAGCCCATGCACTTGACCTACAGGACAGAGTCGGGCCCTCATCAGGGCTTGCTTGTCATTTCAGAAGCCATTCTAACCAAGTCAGCTAACTAACTGAAAGTTTAGGGCAGATGTGAAACGGCAAGCCTGAAGTTAGATGAGGCCACAAAGGTGGGTGTAACAAGTGGGCAGCACTGAAAAAGTGCAGGGGCCAGACAGCTGGAGAGCAGTGACAGGTCAGGGCCCACTGCCTCGGTGCAGTAACAGTCACTGAGATATGTCCCCAAGCAACCAAGAAAGAGTTCAAATATGTTCAAGAACATAGCTGGGAATACTTCTATATGTCCTTTACCATATCATTATCGATTGGGTGAATGTAAGAAAATAAACTACAAAACAAAAAGAAGACATTTTAAGATGTAAAAAAATTTTTACTTCTGATCCATTCTCTGTGCCCAGAAAACTGAAAAGCACACAAATGAAGACACTGCGCACACAAGGTCACAAGGCTCTGCCTAAAAGCTACTTTGTCCTTTTATTTAGTCTGTTATAAAAGTACCTGTAACTTAACTTTTCTGAACCAGTTTGTAATGAGTGAAGAGCTGGCTATGTAGAGTAAAAGAAGGATAAAAATTTTAGCAAAGATTTCTTTTTGTAAACTGCCCCAATCCAGTCTGTAAACCTAATTATTTTTTCATATATTTGATTTTAAAACCAAAAGTCACCCTTCTTCTATTAAGAGCTTATTAAATGTCAACTCCATGTTTTGACTTTATATTGACACTTCTGATTAGTAACGCATTACAACTGCTTACTATTTATTAGCAGAAAATCTGACATCCCTTCAAATTTAACTATTATTGTTGACTGGTTTTTATATAATTAAGAAAACATGACTTGCCTATATTTTTAACAAAGAACGTTCATGACATTCTTTTATATTAAGTTTACACATGACACTAATTTATAATATTCTACATAAATTTTGTCAATACCATGTCCCAGGCACAAGTACTCCATGGCTAAAGAAACCAAGGCTTGTGAGAACGGAAGTGTGAAGTGACTTGCTCAGGGACATGGTGTGGTGCTGGTGGGCGTTTCTCGCCTATGCTCCACTAGACACCTAGTCCCCGTTAGAGCCCAGGACTTACAGACACTGCACACAGCATGAATTTGTCCTTCTGGCAGCAGGCTAGGATTAGATCTTGACCGCATGGAAGCATAAGACAAGTGTAGCCATTTCTTTTCCAGGAGCCCAGTGACGCAGATTTTACCAATATTTAGCAAGAGCTAACTAAAAAGTTCAGGACCAAATCTGTAATAACACCACTACACAAAAAAAATAATCAAGTGGCCACAACTCAATCAAGGTGCAAATAAGATCTCAGTTGGAAACCACGCCACATACAGACTTTCATGTACTCTTCATTCTTAATATTTATACCTACTGAAAATCAGCAAGAATGGAACAAGTCGAAATAACACCCCCCCTCCAAAAAAAATACCTATTTTAAGGTTAAAAAAAAAAAAAAAAAAAAAAGCGGTCCTCTCTTCTAGCTATGCACAGCGTAAAAGGGCCCATATTGAAAACCAGCTACATAACTACAGCTCACAGGCCAAATCTGGCCTAGCATTACTCTGTCATCAAGCTTTACCGAAACACAGCCACCCCTGATGATGCTAGAACTGTAATTGCCTTTGTGCTAACAATGCAGAACTAAATATTAGAGATCAGTTTGGCCTATCCAGTCTGACATTTTTTATTATCTGCACCCTTTAAGGACTTGTTTGCCGACCCCCAATATATACAGACTCTACAGCATACAGCGTTAACTGTACAAGTGCATAAATACCATCTAATACTGAAACCAGTGAGAATGGGTGTGTATGTTATATGAACATGACTGTGAGATTACAAGGACCTAGTTGAGAAAAAGTGGGAAGATATGATGATAGCCAAGTCCTACCTCTGGTTCTGCTTTTGCTTCTTCCTTAGGTTGACCCTCAGGGCTAACCGGCTTGGCCTTCAAGTCCGTCTTCCCCTGTGTGTTCCTAGGCCCAGGTCTCAAGGGTGGTGACATGCTGCCCGTCGGCTTTCCATGAGCACCAGGCGTGGATGCACCACGACTGTTACTCAGTTCCATGACGTGTGAGGGTGCTATTGGTAATTCACGCAAGTTACTGTTTCTGGCAGCAGTTGGCTGTAGCTGCTGCATTGGCCGTTTGGTTACATTCTGAGATGTCGTATTCTATCACAAGAAGACAAATTCAAATTACAACAAAAATCGTGGGAGGACCACAGAAAGGCACATTAGATTATTAGGTAAAAACACTTAGAAATCATTCTAATTAGTGACTTCTCTTTCAGGGGCAGACACTTCTGCTAGTCAATACGTTTTTTAAAATGAATGTTTCCTGCTTAGTGCAGAAGTACACTCTGTTGTTAAGGACTGGGACCCCTAAGGGGCAACACTGCTAACAGACAGACAGGCTCTGAACTGTGGAACTCTCAGCGGGGCACTGCAGATGGGTCTTGAGTTTGGGGACAGAGCCAACAAGACTCCACCTGCACAAGGAGTTGGCCACACCTCTTCTACTGGGTCCCCTAAGTTTACAGCAGACCAAGCAACAACTGAAGCACTAAGTCAGTGCCCTCCCTGGAGGAAAAAGATACTGTGAGTGTTCTCCAAGACGAAACACTTGGTTATGTTCATCCTTGGGACACTTAACAGAATCCCAACACCTTGGGGGAGGGGTGGGGGAGTGGGGAGCCACACGGGGTGGGTTTACAAATGTGAGATGGCTTGGGGATTCAGTTCTCAGATCTCTTGTTGGCACGTAAGGACACAAGGCTAGGCAGGTGGCTTGCCATTGCTCTAACAAAATAAAACTCTAGTTACAAACCACCGTCTTCCCAGATCTAGAAATCTTTTATTTCTCATATCATTTTAGTCTCATTGCTACTTTAAGAAATAGGTATAAGAAATTTTTAGATTAAAAATAGCTAAATGACAAGATTGAAGCTTGAGGTAACAAGGGACAGTATAAAAGGAAAATCCAACTGTCACCTTAGAGCATAGAACTCTAACCATTAGACTCTTTATAAAAAGGTTAGTTATTTAATGGAAAACAGGCAATAACTGCTGCAGTATTTTTGCAGCCAGGATTCAAGAATCTGGCGAAGGGGGTAACGAATAAATGGATCCTCTAGAAAGAAATATAAATTTGAAGGCAGTAGGGGAGCCAGATGGAGGGTGGGAATCCTCACCCTCTAGTGAGGTGGGCTCCCTAACTTTTTATTTACACATTTTGCTCTTTAGCAAAGCAAACATACATATTAAAGGTAAGGTTTGGTAAACAGTAAAGGATTATCAGGTTAGGGATCGCCTTGAGCCATTCAGCCAACAGTAGGTAATAATATGCAGATTTTCAGCCCTGCTGAAAAAGTCCATCAGCCTTTTGAGGACTTCTCACATTATGACCTGCTTGTCTTGGCCTCCAGCAGATAACAGTGACCTTGGTCTTTTATTTTCAAAGCAGTATACTCCCCAGTTTCTTTCCATGCATGACCAACCACATATTTGCTGATGGTCCCTGAGAGTGTATCCTCACAAATGAAAGCACAATTAAATGTTAGCTCCACGAAGGCAGAAAACCTGCCTCTTGCTCACTGCTGTATTCTCAGAACTAGAGTACCACCTACCAAGAGAACATTAAATACATTCTTCCTAAATTCACTTCTTATTCACTCACAGCCCAAGGAAAAGCAAGCCACTGGCAAAGTGAAAGTGACTGTCACCGGAAACTATTTTCTGAAGTTATGTGTCTGTTAATTACTAATATCATCGCTGCAGGAACACGCAGATAAACAAAAGAAACTGAAATAAACAACATGATGGGTCTTTCACGCACAAAAGAAACACTATTAATTTCTGTAGTCAAGAAAACCAATTTCCTAAGCCATTTTTAAACATGCGTTCACTGTGGAAAAACACACTACATGTGCTTCGTTAATTAAATCCGAACTAAAAACTACTCTGGCTCAGGAGTTCTGCCCCTGACATTGTGACTTGAAAGGCATCCAGACGGCAGGAGACAGGTGGACACTCACATGCCTCAGCCCCTGGCGCTGGGGGCACTGCATCCGACTGCTATTCTGCTGAGGCTGAGCCGTCTGCATATGAGGCCTGAACTGGGGCTGCGGCATGGGCATCAGAGGTGGTGGGGGAACGGACAGGTGGTGGTGGTGCTGGTGCTGCTGCGGCTGGTGAGGAGGCTGGTGCTGCGCCTGGGGGGGCGGCGGGTGCTGTGGAGGTGGCTGCAGCGGGGGCTGCTGCTGAGGCTGTGGCGGAGGCTGGTGGGGAGGGGGTAACGGGGGGTGCAGAGGCCCCTGTCGTGTCAAAAGAAAGAGAAACAACAGCTTATAAATGCATATACTACTTATGTTCCAATTCAGCCCTTCCCTTAGAAACCCCAACACCAAAAAAAAAAACTTGAAGTGCTACAAATTTCATTTCAGATTTGCTGATGGAGGTAATGTTATATATACACTCTAAATCCTTTTAATCTCAAAATTCCAAGGATCTGTCCTTAGGAGATTACTAAGGATACAAACATAACCTCTAGAATATTTCCAGCAGCACTGTCTATAAGAATGTGCGCAACACAGAGATGCCGTGTGCAGCCTATGAGCAGGCCTGGTGTGCAGTGACAGGTAATGAATGCCCTGCCATGAGAGGACATAACCCAGGCTCCTGCGGAAGAGCATGCGAGGATGGGTGCTCGGAAGAGCCTGAGTAGCATGAGCACCCAATGTTAGTGTGGCTGCTGCAGATGTCAGGCTTACGTTCCTCTTTAAATACTTATCTCTACACGAATGCTTCTGCAATGAAAATGTAGTCACTGTATTTTTTTTTAATAAAAAGAAAATCAGCGAGGTAGAAGAAGGTAAAGGTATAAATGGTAATAAAAGAGACTTGACTTGGGGTGGTAAACACGCACACACAAAAAAGAAAAATAAAACAAAACAAAAAAACATTTATCCTCCTCTAACACCCTAAATAATCACCATTTTCCTCTCTTCACTTTAAATGCATCCCCTGTGCTCCTAAACAGCTGATTCCGGCATCCTCCATCATGTATTTAATAGTATGCTTCAAGTACAAACACAAGTGCTGGAAAGGAGGAGCTCACACCACACAAGGCCGCCCATGAGAGAGCTCACCAGCAGAGGGCACTCAACTCATCCAACTGGGAGGAAGGAACAGCAACACTTGCTCCAGGGGGAACCTTCCACTGCATAGTGCAGTATTATCAGCTGACAGACAACTTTATTTCCCTGTAAACCTTTTATGACTTCCAGTTATGAGCAAAGATATTGTCAAAACACATCCTACTTATATTAGCAGTATAGCCATTAATAAAATTTAAAAATCTTAATACTAAATGTTTTCATTTCCCCAACATTCACAATCACCTTTTCCATTTCTCCTATGACTTGAGATAACCAATACTGTCAAGAGATTATCTGTTGTAAACAGTTAATAGCCTTATTCTTTAACCTCCAGATCTTAACAGACTAGAATAAAAATATGAAACTTTGTCTTCAAGAACACCAGGCCCAGACCTGCAGCACCCTCCTCCTCCCCCCCAGACCACTGTCCCACGGCCCACCGGCTCCACGTACCTGGAGGTTAGGCTGAGCGTGTGTGGGCAGAAATGGCTGTCCAGGGCACGGCAGGAAGGGCTGTCGAGGAGGAATGAAAGGCCGAGCGGCCGCGGACCCTGGCTGGCTGAAGTGCAGCAGGCCCACGGGACCTGGAGGCTGCAGGGTGGGCCTCACAGGCCTCTCCCGAGGGAATACGGGCTGCTGTCCTTGCTGATTAAAAGCTGGTCCAGGCTGAGTGAATGGTAAGGGATTGGGCGTGGGCACAGGGTGAGCGCTGCTGAGAAGTGTGGGAGGGGGTGGCGGTGGTGGGGGGCTTCGCTGCTCCAGAAAGAGATGACTTGGGAAACGAGGTTCACCTGAAACTGAAAGGCAGTTTTTAATTATCCTCGTGCTGTCTAATCAGAGGGTCTAGGTCACCCTCTGCGCCTATACCTTCCAGGCACCCTCTGGCTGTGCAGAACGTGTGCTCTGTAGAAAGCTGGTGGCACAAAGTCCTCCTACAGACAAGATGCCAAGTGATGGCAGGATGCGAATGCTTGAAAAGAATCCTAAGTTTCCCCTCTTACTTCTCCATGGCTTCACTGGCCATTTTCTAGAACTGATTTCCTTTTGTGTGCGTGAAGTTCACTGGAAATGACAGGCCGAGTGCTAGGGCACAAGAACTGGTGGCTTAACAAAAGCTCCTCACAGAAGCTAAATTCGGTTTAAAACAAAAGTGTGTCCAGGCCCATCACCACCACAGCTTGGTTCCGTTACTCTGCACTGTCCCTTACCTCCTAAGAAGAAGGGGTCTCGCTCCTGGGGAGGGGGTGGTGCTCTCCACTGGTCCTGCAGAGGAAGCCGTGGGGGCTGGCTAAAATTGTTGGGAACCGGTCCAGGGGTGTGCTGTGCAAATTCTGGAGGGCCCTAAAGAACAACAGGGAAGATGACAGGCAGGAAAATAGACTGTACATGGAGCCAAGTTTCCCCTGAAACATCAATTAACTTATCTCCCATACTCCCAGTTTATAACTACATGTTAACAAAGTAATGATTCAGCCACATGAAACAAACATTAAAACACAGCATCTAAAATATAAATCCTTGTTTTCATATGTCTACAGCACCAAAAACATCCTTTTTAAACTTATTGAAATCCGAGTGACTATTGACCTTCTTGCCTTTTCGTCTAAAAGATGCAATGCCTCATTTAGACAATCCTGCTGTTTATCTTCTCAAACATGCTATTTTTGCTACCTTTTTAACGCAATCATAAGCTACAGATATGGAGCTGCTTTACTTCAAAAGCAGGGAAAATAACAGAATTTATATTATAACAATATCAGCAATCTCTAACAAAACAGGAAAATGTGAAATGTATAAGAAACCACGTTACTACAAAAGAAATATTACAGAGTTGGATTCCACTGGATAAAAATTTCTAATATCTTAAAGATTAAAATTCTTTACTAGCTAAATATTTCCTAGTAAAACTCTACAAATAAACTAAAATTACTTTATTTTCAGCTGGTCTTTCGAAAAGTCAAAGATTCTTAAAAACAAACATTGGCTTAACAACGCCTCACATTGCTGGGGCACAGAAAGGAGGCCTCCCCCTGGGGTGGGGACAGGGACAGGTTGGGGGAGTCAATAGGGAAAAAGAGGTCACATGTAACACTGTCAACACTAAAAATTTTAAAAGAAAAAAAGCCTCACAATTTTCCCCTCCTCTAGAAAGAATTCATTAATTATACACATCATCAAAATAATTTCTATTTAATAACACCTCATTCCTTAAAACTCAGCCATTATTTCTCAACTTTTTAAAAAATAATAGAGGGAGAGATAGAAACATCAATGAAGAGAGAGAATCACTGATGGGCTGCCTCCTGGACACCCCACACTGGAGATTGAGCCTGCACTCTGGGCATGTGCCCTGACCTGGAATTGAACCATGACTTTCTGGTTCACAGGTCGACATTAAACTACTGAGCCATGCTGGCTGGACATTTCTCAACTTTTTAAAACCACATTCCCTTTTCTCATAAAATTATAATGCTTCTTCTGTCATTTTAGTACTAATATTCTTTCCTCTAAAAGTGACATCATTTTAAAATGTCGAAACCGGTTTGGCTCAGTGGTAGAGCGTCTATCTGCGGACTGAAAGGTCCCGGGTTTGATTCCGGTCAAGGGCTTGTACCTTGGTTGCGGGCACATCCCTGGTAGGAGGTGTGCAAGAGGCAGCTGGTTGATGTTTCTCTCTCATCGATGTTTCTAGCTCTCTCTCTCTCTCCCTTCCTCTCTGTAAAAAATCAATAAAATATATTTAAAAAATCAATAAATAAAAATAAAAGTGACATCATTTTAAAACATTAAAAATGCTTTTGCAAACTACATTTGCCTTCCTTCTCCCTTTAACAATGTGCTCGACCCATGGCATTGTAAGAATAATACATAATGAACACTAATATAAACACAAACATGTAAGATCCATGACTATACGATGTTAAAATAAATAGGTTTAAGCATAAATATTACATCTTTATAAAAACAAATATTAGGTAATTATTAAAACACTAGAGGCCCAATGCATGAAATTCATGCAAGGGGCTCGGCCCCCCCAGCCCTGGCTTCATCTGGAAGACATTCAGAAGGTTGTTCGACTGTTTGGTCTAATTAGCACATTAGCTCTTTATTATATAGCATCTGGAATAGGAAGCCTCCAAGATTAAATTCTTATCAACTAAGAGACTGCCAAAGCAATAAACGTTCAGTAACTAAGAAGTGTAAAATCTGTACGTGAGAACACACAATGGATGCAATCATGTTACATTAGCAAGCTTCTCTATGCCCAGTAAATGTACACATTTTCTCACTTGAGACTTTACCCATATAATGCTTTGACATGGATTTTCTTCAATATTTAATACTTTTACTGTGGTAATACTACATTAGAAAAAATGCTCTGATGGCGTGGCTGGCAGGAGGACTTCCAATGAGCTTGCCTCCTTTCTGCCATGGCCGCATACTTTCCTCTTGTTCTCAAGAGTTTTATTTTGCCCTGGCTGGTGTGATAAGTGGTTAGAGCATCAGCCCACGCACCTAAGCATCTGGGGTTCAATTCCTGGTCAAGAGAATCCTGAGTTACAAGTTAGATCCCCGCACCCAGGCAGGCCCATTCAGGAGGCAACCGATTAATGTGTCTCTCTCACATCATCAATGTGTTTTTCTTCCTCTCTCTCTCTCTCTTTTCTTCCTCTCTCTTCTCTTTTCTTCTCTCCCCTTCTCTGCCCTCCCCTACTCTCTCTTCTTTCTTCTCCCTCCTTCCCTCCTTTCTACTCTCTCTAAAAATTAATGGGAAAAACATCCTCAGGTGAAGATTTTAAATTTTTTTCTGATTTTCTGTTTGAAGTCAATGAAATATGTACTGTGCATTTATTTGCACAGGTAACTAGACAGAATATGTGTTATTAAAGGATTTATTTATCAAATATAGCATTAGTATCCTATCTTCAGTTTCATATATCTTTTTTCTCACATATGTATGTATTTCAAAACATGGTTTAAAATCATCTTCAAAACTTTCTGATAACAAATTAGCAACCAAAGTCCTATTTTTTGTTTATTTGTTTGTTTAAACCATTTCTCTTGAAGTAGCACTGAAAATCAAGTTACAAATTGCCTGCCCTCTGTTTCGTGGCAAACTTTGACTGGTCACCTGCCTCCACACATGCAATGTGACGACCAATCAGCACCCTCACCTGTTGAATAAAAGCCCTCTTTCACCTTAAGCAGGGGATTCAAACTGCTTCTATCCAACTGGACTTCCCTCTTCTAGGAGAGGGGACACCAGGAAGTTTCAAACAGGAAAGTACAGAAGAGACAGAATAAGATTCATTAAAATAATTTGTAGTGAGAAATGCAAAACCCACAGATAACAAGCATGCTCCTAAGACATGAGCAGGACAGCACCACAGCCTGAAACAAGCTACTAATGTAAAAGGTCAAAGAAATCACTGAATTTAAATGTTAAAAATGAGTTATTTTTCATGAGGTTTTAGCTTACAAATTAGTAAAATATTAACACCTACATGAAGACAAATGACAAAACATCTTCAACCTTTAAAGTGCAATAAAGGATAGCTCTCCACAAATACTTTGCTGTGGTCATTTATAAATAGATGGTGTGGTCTGCACGGGAGAGAGGTTTGGGATGGACCTCAGCGATGCAACAGCGCCCATGCAAACCCCCCAAAAGGCCCTCCGAACACAAGTGGCCGATCAGCAGGGCACTGCTGCTGTGGGGATGGTACGAGAGAACTGGTCTAGAGAACCTCAGGGTCCAAGCCAACTCTGGGAAACACTGGGTCTCTTCATGTTCTTAAAATCATACAGCAAATTGAAAGACCACTCTATTACCACGTCTGATGGGATTTTTCATTTAAAAAATAGGACAAGTATGCTGAATGACAGGCAGATGAAAGCATTGGCCACTGCCTATCTACACCTGTGTCGGGCACCACTATGGAATGAGCTGTCCTGACTCTCTGTCTTGACTAGTACACACGGCTTTCTTCCTTATTTCATAGAGAAGCCCTGATAGCTATTGCTACTTTTCTTACCTGGCACGCAGAGAACTGGAAAATACCTGGTTTCTCCTGAAGTCTGTGGTTCCTTATGAATTCCATGATTGCACTTTACTGCCACCCGTCTAGCCCTGCTGCCGAGGCTCTGAACAGTGCTGGCCGGCAGCAGCCCTCCCCACACCTTCCATGAGAGAGCGTCTTCCCAGTCCTCCCAGGAGAGCTTTCTCATTATAAACAAGGCCAAACGCAGCTGGAAGAGCAGACTGGCTACACCACTGCAGGCAGGAGGTCTGCCACGTTTGGGTTTGGACTCTGCCACGGTTGAGCTAAGGAAAAGTGTTCTCTCCTTTACCCTCTTCACCCTCTTCTGGGAGTGCCTGCTGAATTACAGACAAATGCAAAGAGAGACTGAAGTGGTTTAGTTTTCAATAGGAACTTCAAGATGTCTAAGAACTAGGTACCTTATTTCTTGGGTCTCTAAGCACTTGCTGATTTCCTGGAGATTATTTTAAATATTCCTAACTTCTAAAGACATTTTTTGGTATTAAAATGAAAATATATTGGGATCACATATTTTGGCCACTTTGGAATTTTAATATTGTGATTTTCATCACTTCCCCAAACCATCTTTTCTTTAATTATCCTTGTGCTGTCAAACCAGATATACACAGGTATTCAAATGTTACTAAAACGTTAATCTTTCTTCAGCAGTAACATTTAACCAGAACTTTATTCTTTATCCTACACTAAGTGAGAATGCTCGACTGATGAACCTGTGTCTCTGGCCTTCCCTCTCACTAGCACAGCACTGACCACATGACTGAACCTCTCTGTGCCTCAGTATTCCCATCTGTAAAACAGCCCTACCTCCTGGGAGAAGTTACAGAAACACACACAAAGAAACCATGAAACCTCACTGTGCCTGGCATTGTCATTTTCATATCACATTTTTGAAGACAGCATTCCTCCATAGGTGTAATACACAGCTTCTAACAATTATGTGTTTCCTGATCAAGTGAAAGACAAATTAGCGTAAGTCCCCTTCCCATCCCCAACTCCCTCCACCCCACCCCCCTGCTAGCCTGGTCACCTGCAATTGGCCCCCCAACCAAACTGGTCGCCCCTCATGGCCCTCCCACCGGCCTGGTCTCCCCACGCAGCCTGCTGTTCAGTCATTTGGTCGTCCCTCACTAACACCCTGTTGGCCTGATCATAGGCAACCATCTTGTGAGAGCATGAGGGCTAATTTAAATATAACCTCTTTATTAAATAGGTTATAATAGAAGCCTAATATGCTAAGTGTCACTATGATACACACTGACCACCAGGGGACAGATACTC